ACATGGAGTCAAAGAGGTAGAGAGAGATGGGGATATGGAGACAGGGTGCAGACACAGATGTAGAGAAAGAGACTGAAGGGGCAGAGGGAAGGAGGGAATGTTGGCACAGAAAACTGAGACTCCGAAAAGGGGAGCGCGACAGACAGAGACGTCGGGCAGAGACTCAAAGACGCAGAGATGCGATGAGACACGTAGAGAGAGAGAGACAGGCAAAGAGACCGTGACCCGGGTACCTCGTGTTAGAGGTGAGAGGCCCGCAGGCGGGCCGAGGGAGGGGCGGCGAGAGGTGGGGTCCCGGAAGAAAGGAAGGACTGGGAGGCGCAGAGATTCGCAGAGACTCGCAGAGACAGAGACACAAGAGACAGGAAGGCCTAGGGACTTGGCGGGGGGCCGGCCGCGGGGAGTACGTGGGGAGGGTCCACATCTCCCGTTCAGTCCCCGCCTCCCGCCTCCCGGGTGGCAAGTCGGGGGCGGCGCAGGATCCCTCCACCCAGCCTCCCCCAGCCCGGAACTGGGATCGCCGCCGCCCACTTGGACACCTCCCCTTCTCCCTCAGCTTTCCCCCACCTGATGGGTCCGCCTCCTCTTAAACCCAAATCACGCCTCCTACTGCCCGCTTTTCACAGCCCTACCCCAAACCCACTCTCAACCCCGGATATATTCCTAGAAGACCCTCCCTTTGTACTCGGACCCCGTGCATCGTGGCCTCTCCCTCTCTACCTAGACCCCCGTGCACCATCAGCCGCCACCCCTCCGCCACCTGCGGACCCCTCTCCAGCCCCTAGATGCTTGAGATCTGGGCTTCTGACTCGGTCTCCTCCCCTCTGCGGGTCTCTGCCTTCCCTCTTTGGTTCTCTCTTTCGCTCCCTCTCTCTCTCCTTCCAACTCTGAACTCCAATTCTCTGGGTCTTTGACCCTCCTCTCAGTATTTGTCTCCCTCAGTGCTCCCCGACTGCTCTCGCACTGGGTCTCTGCCCTCCCAGGTCTCTGTGCTCTTTTCTTTGGGTATCTGTACACCCCCCTTCTCTACATCTCTGTCCCTCTCTCCCTGGGTCTCCATTCCTCTCTCCCTGAGTCTCTCGGGATTTCTGTCCCTCTCTCTCTGGGTCTCTGTCCCCCTCCTTCTGGATCTCTGTCCCCTCCTTCTGGGTCTCTGTTCCCTCTCTCCTTGGGTCTCTGTCTGTCTCCTTCTGGGTCTCTGTCCCTCTCCCTGGGTCTCTGTTCCTCTCTCTCTGGGTCTCTGTCCCCCTCTCCCTGGGTCTCTGTCCCTCTCCCTGGGTCTCTATTCCCTTCTCTCTGGCCTGAGTCTCCCTTCCTCCTGGGTCCTGCTGTATCTCTCATTCTCTGCTCCCAGGCATCTCAGAAGGCAGCCCTCAGCCCCACCCCTACCCCCGGCTGGCAGGGTCCAGAGGAGGGTCAGGGATAGGGGTAGAGGTGGGGCACAGCGCTGCACAGGGGAGCAGGTGGGTAAGGGGGTTCTCCAGGAGCTCAGGGACCCAGCGGGGCCTAACCTGGGACCCCTCCTCACACTGGTTCCCCTGATCTCTGTACCCACATCTGTATCTTTCAGGTTCTTGGCTGGACTGGGTGCAGAGCCAGACCTCTGGCCCTGAGCTGCTGGGTGTGCGTGGTGTGGGAGGGAGGAGATTGGGGTCGGGGAGCCATTTCCCTCCAGCCATGGAGGAGGACAATACCTTTGGATGTGTGAGATCAGGGTTGGGGAAGGGTAGGGGTGGAGTGGGGGCGGGGCTATCTGGGTGTGTCTTGTGGAGGGTCACATGCCTACTTCCAGACTCAACAAAGCTCAGTTCCCACTGGTGTGTGTGCCCATGGTTGTATGAGGTGGGCTGTGATGTGTGCCATGGTGTGTCCATGTGCAGCCAGCTGAGGTAGGCCCCTGGCCATGTTCTGGAGTTGTGTGTGGTCCTGGTGTGTCAGGATGTCTAAGATTGTATCTGGGTTTTGTGTACTGTGGGTAGGAATGCCGAAAAAGGCATGATTGTGTGTCAACATGGAGCTCTGTGCATGTCCATGTATGTGGGGAGGAGGCTCAGGTGTGCCACCAGGATGATATTGGGTGTCATTGTGTGTTGTGTCTGGGACACTGTGTGAATGTCCTGTGTTCTGGGTCACTGTGTGTATACAAGCTCTGCTGTGTGTCTGTGCAGAGTTTTGTGTGAGATAAAGGAAGAACTGATCCCCTGTATCCTTGTGTCTGGATCAGCAACTATGTCAAGAGATATGGGGCAGGGGCAGGAGGCTATGGGATCCCCAATGGTAGAGGAGCCATGTGTGTGTGTGTATGTGTGTGTGTGCTGTGTCTGGGTGTGTTGCTGGGTCTGAGGGGATGTATACCACTTCTCCACCTGCTTCACTCCCCGGAGTTGTCAATGGCCTGGAGCTGTGTCTCCCTGGGCATGCACATTTGTGTGCAGTTGGAAGAGATATTGAGACTCTGTTGGCCAAGGGAGAAATTGTGCTGTGCTGAAGGCTTGGCACAGCATGGGAACTGAGCAGGCAAACTGCTAGCCCCTGTGGGGCAGATGACACAAAGGCTCTCCTGGCCCAAGGCAGCTCCCCAGCATCTATGATTTAGCAGGTAGATGGTACCCTTGTGTATGTTTCAAAAGGGTGCCCCTTCCTGCAGATGGATGCAGCCCCACCAGCATGCCTTAGGAAGGAGAGCCCAGCTGAATTCCAGCCTCTTAGCCAGACCCCTTTGTGCAGTGCACAACCTGCCCAACCATATGTGGCAGCCCTCAATGAATGAAAGAATCCATATCACCACGTGCATGTGTCACTCTGGGAAGGGGTGTGTCCATGTGCTTGTCAGCTCATGTTTCTCTGTGTAGGATAAAGGCACCCATGTCTATGAGTGGTGCCCTGAAGCCTGAGTTCAGAGCCCAGTTCTATTGCACTGAGGGGCTCAGACAAATAATGGGACCTCTTGGAACCTTAGCATCCTCATCTGAAGTGTGGGGGGTGGGGAGAGAGAGAAGATCAACCTCTCACACTTCTTTCAACATTCATCCATGCAACAAACACAGAGCACGTACTATTTTTGTCTAAAAATCTCTGATTTGTGGAGTTTACAGTCTAGTGGGGAAGACATGTAATGTGGCCAGTCGAGATGGGAGCTGTGAAAAAGTGGCAAGTGTCTGGGGGGCCATTTAGACAGGGCAGGGGAGGCTCGCAGAGATGACACATGAGGGACATCTGAGGAAGGGAAGGGCATAGCCAGACCAGCATCTGCAGGAGGGGGTCCCAGGCAAAGGGGGCAGCAAATGCAAAGGCTGGAAGCTGGGAGCCTCTTGGGCACAGGGCCTAGGAGGGCACGAAGGAACAAGAAGAAGTTGGGAGAAGGGTCTGGGTTTCATTCTCATGTGACAGGAAGCCAGTGGGTGGTCTGAACAGGGGAGTAGTGACACCAACTGACATATGTCAGTGGTGTTTTGAAATCTGTGGTAAAATACATGTAACATAAAATTTACCACTTCAACCATTTTAAGTGTCCGGTTCAATGGCATGTAATAAATTCATAATGTTGTGTAACTACCACCACTATCTAATTCCAGAGCATTTTTCACCCTAAAAGGAGCCTTGAACCCATTCAGCAGTCACTCCCCACTCCTCCCTCCAACCCCCAGCTCCAGACAAACACTTATTGGCTTTGGCTGCATGGATTTGACTGTTGTGGACATTTCATATAAATGGAATCATACGCTATGTGACCTTTTGTGTCTGGCTTTTCTTAATGTTTCTGAGGTTCTTCGTGATGTAGAATGTATCTGTGCGTCATTGTTTTTCATGGCTGAATATTATTCCGTTATGTGGATAGACCACATTTTGTTGACCCATTCTTCAACAAATGGACATTTGGGTGGTCTCCACTTTGGGGCTGTTATAAGTCGTGCTGCTATGAACATTCATGTTTTTGTGTGAACATGTTTTCAATTCTTTGGGAAAGATACTTAGGAGTGGAATTGCTAGGTAAGGAACTGCCAAACTGCTTTTCAGTGTGGGCCAAGCCACTACTAAAATGCTCTTTAGACACCAATTGGAGGCATCCAGTAGGCTATCTTGTGGGGAGTTCAGAGGAGGGGCCAGGGCAGAGCTAAAAAGGAAATTTGAGGCCCCATGTGGAAGAGGGTAGAGGCGGATTGAGGCTTGGGAGTCCCAGCTCCCCATAACTCTCCCCCCATCACAATCCCCAGCAGTTTTGTTGATAACGGTGTGGTGCCTAGCTACACATGCACTCGGTGGAAAGGAGCAAAGGATAAAAATAATAACGAACAACATTTGTTAAACTAGTTCCACCCACCCACCCACCCTCTCTCACACAAACCCCTCTCTCTCCCCTCTCCGGAACACAAACCCCATAAAGACAGAGACGGAGCCCTGTGGTTCATCCACCGCTGCATCCCCAGCCTCAGTAAACAGGGCTGAAGGAAGCCCGCCCACTGGGCCGTTGCCTAGAAACAGCTGGGCAGACCTGTCCCATGTGGCTCCTCCTCATCCTGTGTCACCCTCCTTTCATAGAACTATAGCAGCTGCGCTGGACCAGGCACTGTCCTAAACTTTCCACATATGTTAACTCGGTTCATCCTTCTGTCCACCCACTGATAGCCATCCTTATCCCCATCTTACAGATGGGGAAACTGAGGCATATGGGGACTTAGGTAAGAGCCTGTCCAGTGTCAGGCACCTGGCACATGATGGAGATTGTAGAGAAACCACTGCTACCCTGACTCTCCAGCTGTGCAAGGAGACACTTCAGATCTGACACTCTAAGAGTGCAAGTGTGTGTGTCTGTGTGTGGACGTGGTGGTGAGGGGGCTGAGGCTTGAGATCCCTTGATTACCAGACCTAAACAAAGGAGAGAAATGAGCACTGGAGGAAACTGAGGACCAGATGGGTCTAAGCCAGCAGTTCTAACCCGGGGCAACTGCGGCTCCCAGGGGGATATCTGGCAATGCCTGGAGGCATCTTATGTTATCGCAATGCGGGGGAATGAGAAAGCTCCCGGCATGGAAGATGCTGAGAAACATCCCGCAGTGCACAGGATGAGCCCCCACAACTAAGTACATTCTGTCTCCAAATGTCAGTAGTGCCCAGGTTGAGAAACCCTGCACTGCCTCTTCACCCCTCCTGGGCTATAAACTCAGACTCTCAACTCCAATCTCTTTCTCTCCTTCTCTCCTCCCCCCACCCACTCTTCTTTCTCTCTCTTCCTCATCTCCTGACTCCTCCCACCTCGCCCTCCCTACCTGTCTCCCTTCATTCCCTCCCCCCACCCACTGGCCCATCCCAACCTCCTCCCCACTCTGCCCACCTCTCTCCGCATCTCTGCCCTCGCTCACTCGCATCTCACCCCTTACCCTCCCCTCTACCCTCTCTCCCTCATCTGCCTCCGTGGTTTCTTCTCCCTCCACCACATCTTTCCGCTGGTTTTTGGTCCACCTCTTACTTCTTGGCATCCCTGACGTCACTGATGACTTTCCCACGCTTCCCTCTCCCATTCATCACTCACTTTGACTCTTTCTCCGTCCTTCCATTATCATTTCTATTCTCCTTCTGCGGTGTCTGCGCACACTTCTGTTGCGCCCCACCACCGTACACTGCCGCTGGGACCACCAACTTTGGGTCCATGCATTTCCCCTCCCTCCATCCTTTCTGTCTTCTGGTTCGTGTTTCTCCATCCTTCTACCTTCCTTTGGCCCTCCTTCCTCATCCTCTCCCGCCGCCCACCTCCCCATTTCTCTGTCTCTGTCCATCTTTCTCCTGCCCACCGTTCCAGCCTCCGTTCTCCCTCCAGCCTGGCGGCCTGGTCCGACCTTCTGCGCGTCCCATGCCAGCCCTCCTGCTCCTCGGGACCCTCCTGCTCCTGGCCTCCACTACCGGCCAGGCGGGGGCACTCCCGTCCAACGCCACGAGCGCCGAGCCCCCGGGTCCGCTGCCC